AATTAAGCCAGACTATTGCAAAGGAGGAAGCGAGTCACGTGGTGGAAAGGTATTTTCTTCTTGGCAGGCCACACCAACACTGGAGGCAAGCTTGGGAAGCTGTCATGCTGTCACTTCAAGTGCATTCCTGTGTGTAGGCGGCTTGAAAAATAAGCTGGATACAGCAAAACAAACAAATGAACAATATCTGTGAGGGGCAGAGGAGGCCAGTGTATGGGATCAGCAGAATGGAGAGGTAAAGGTTTTCGGAGGGCTCTGCCCCTTGCCGATGGGCGGCTGAGTGTTTGACTTCTTGCCCAGTGGAGTGGACCAGGAAGAAAGGCTCAGGCTTGCACTCTCCCTGCTGTGCTATGTTTCTACATGCAAAGCACTTTCATTGTGTGGGAACTCTGGTACATGCAAGCTCTCTTCTCCAGTCTGATGCAATTCAGTGAAGGAAGAATTTGACCAGTTGGTTCTGTTGGCCATGTTTACTGGCCCAGTGAGATAAACAAAAACATGGTGTTGTTTTTAAAGGCAACTCATCTCTTAGGCTGGGTCTAGACACATCAAAGAAGGGTTTCAGTTGTAAACTCATACAGGGCAACCTGGTAGGGAAAGATGGGACTCCACAGCGCCATCTGGTGTCACAGTGTTATCTCACATATACAATACATGTCAAATGCTTTTTCTTTACCAATCTAGATGAGTCTTTAGTCTCTCAGATCTGACTAAGAATCAGCTTAAGTTGTGGGGAAAGTATTTCAATAGATGGGGCAATTGCAACGGGGAAGTTGGAGAACGTACAGTTTTAGTAATGCGTGCACACATATTGTAAATGTAAAAGGGATACTCTGAACCGGAGCTTCATTAACTTATAAATGTTTGCTCCTCATTTGACCATGTCTTGCACTTTGATGCATCTTATCTGAACAGGCTGTTTTTCTTTTTAAACAAGTTTTGTATTCAACTTGATGTTGTGTGATATAAACCTTCTGTCTTCGTGTCTGGAACAGCAGACATGCATGTAAAAGTCACTGGATACTGTAGTCAATGACAGAAGAACATGCATTTGATGACATTAGCACAGATGTTCCTGTTGAATTTAGATTGAAAATGAAAGACTATGTGGAACATGAAGAGACCACTTTTTTAATGATTACTATTTAAAACATAGAAACAAACTTTTGAGAGTGGAAGCAGTGGTCGCTATCCCAGTGGGTCTTCTCTGAGTAGTACTTAGTTGGATAACACCCAATATAACTTTGTAGCAAAAGTACATGCGACAATGTTAATAATCTCAAGTGGATGTCCATTCTGATAAAGAGACAGTGGGATGAGGAAGAGAGATTCTGAAGTAGCTGATGCCTTCCTGTTGTTTTGAACTACAATTCCCATCAGCCCCAGCCAGCTTGGGTAATGATAGATGACGACAGGAACTGTAGTCCAAAACACAGAGGGCACCCCTCCTCTGAACTATTGAGAAAATCTATATTTATGTACTATTACCAAGGCTGCAGGCACATCAGAATAACTAAAACCTTGCTTACACAAGCAACAGATGATGTGGTACAATTGTTCCTGAACTGTAGGACTTCAGACAAGATTAGGCTGAATAAAAGGAGAGAAGTTAATTTTCACACATGCTTTTCTTCTCAGTATTGAAAGACAAGCATGCCAAGCACTGATCGTTCATGGGTGGCTTCAAAGGTGTTTTCTTATACCAGAATCATTCATTTGTTTTCACCTTCCTCATTGACAACTGAGATCACCCATGTAATCGGGTCAGGAATGGTTGGTTTCACTCTAAATCTGCTTTGTTTGCCTGCAGTGGTGTCAGCACACACTAGCTTCATTATCAACTTTGCTTTATGATCTTTGATGGGCTGGGGTCACTTTACAAAGGGGGGTGGGAAGCCCTATCAAGAAGTGGGAAATGGTGCCATCTTTCTACTATCAAAGGGTGAAGAGAAAAGAAGAACCTTCTCAGGCATAGGATCTCTTCACACAGAAAAGCACAATGGATGAACATTTAGACAGTAAATTAGTTAACCAAGAATGGTTGACTTTGCCACATTACAGCTTCATTTTAAAACAAATCTCCTTAAATATTTGAAGCTCTGGGCATCTTCCCCCCTTTGTGCCCTTTTCCTCTTCTAGAAATGAAACCACCATCTCTCAGGGTTCCCATCAGTTGGACGAATTACTCCAGGAAACAAATCAAGGTTTCAAAGCTTATTACATATTTTGATACTACCCACAGATGCTCTTTTTACAACTTACAATAATTGAAAATAATAAAAGTGGGAGGAGTTCATATTAAATTCAGCTGAACTCATACTTATTGCCATCTGGTTCAATTTCCAGTTTGGCTCTCTTGGCCTTTATTCTACACATAGAGCTTTGAGTATTATATTCATTTGAAGTGAGCCTCATAGCCATTTGAGAGATTTTGTTTCTAGGGCTAGGCTAAATTTCCATGACGTTTGATTTTATTTTTTCGGCAAAAAAAGTTTCTGCAGGGCTGTGAGGGAGAGGAGGCATGGAAATGCTTTGCCAGCCACCTACGTTCTGTTTCTTTAGTGTATATTTCCATACCTCTTCTCTGTCATTGTTCACCCAACCTTTTGCTGCTTGGGAAAGCAGAGAGAACTCAACATCTCCCTTGTTGAGGAAACTCAGCAGTGTTTTTTGGGTGTTGGGCCATGTGCATCTGAAAGTGCAGCTAGAAGTGAATATTGTTCCTTGGCACTGTGTTACTTTCAGTGGGATGCATCTTTGCATGCACATCATAATGTCAGAAGGAATCATGTGTTGCCTCTTCCACTCACCCTTTGCCAACATTTTTGCATTCCATCGAACGGGAATACGAAGAATTGCAAAAAGAAAAGGCTGGAGTTATTTGCGGGAAGGGTGAAAGTGTTTAGGAAATGCAACTCTCTTTCTTACTGGATTTTAACTGTCATACTTTTAATTTCATGAAAGAGTTTTCAACCATCTAATGCAGTTTCCCAAACTTGGGTCTCCAGCTGTTTTTCGACTTCATTTCTCATCATCTTTTGGACTACAACTCCCACCATCCCTAGCTAGCAGGACCAGTGGTCAGGGATGATGAAAATTGTAGCTGGAGACCCAAGTCTGGGAAACCCAGATCCAATGGGTCGCCATTGTTTATGGGCATGTTATATAATTAGTGTAATGTACAGGCAGAGTGCAGGGAATAACACACAAGTGTTTTGTGGTGGGGCTGGACTGTGGCAAGCATTGTGGCAGGAACTGGGAGCCAAGAGACAGGCCAGTAGCCAGAACCAACCAAGGAGTGAAGCAGGAAGCAGGACCAAAAAAACCCACAGGAGTTAGACCAACCAAGAATCCAGAAAAATGTCAGAGCTCAGAAATATATTGTTGCTCAAGCAAGGTTCCATTGGCAAGTAAAAGGTAAAGGTACCGTTGCCCGTACGGGCCAGTCTTGACAGACTCTAGGGTTGTGCGCTCATCTCACTCTAGAGGCCGGGAGCCAGCGCTGTCCGCAGACACTTCCGGGTCACGTGGCCAGTGTGACAAGCTGCATCTGGCGAGCCAGCGCAGCACACGGAACGCCGTTTACCTTCCCACTAGTAAGTGGTCCCTATTTATCTATTTGCACCCGGGGGTGCTTTCGAACTGCTAGGTTGGCAGGCGCTGGGACCGAGTGACGGGAGCGCACCCCGCCGCGGGGATTCGAACCGCCAACCTTTCGATCGGCAAGTCCTAGGCGCTGAGGCTTTTACCCACAGCGCCACCCGGGTCCCTCCTCCATTGGCAAAGGAAGCCCTTAATATTATTTCCTACCTAGAAAAATCCACTGGTGAAGCTTAGGGGCCAGATTCAATCCAGAAGTGTCTTCATGAAGAGGACTGCCACTTTCATGTCAGTAATTCACCACACAGGGCAGCAACACAGAGAACACAGGTAGTTTCTCTTCATTTGTGTATTATAATTATATCCTACTTTTTAACCAAAATAATCCCAAAGCCTTTTGGAAATTAATAGCAATCCTAATGCAAGATCCACAGTGCTCTAAAACCTGGGAAATCTCTAGCTGGAGTACTGCTGGTTTTGAAGTAGTAAATCCTTCTGGCAGTCTGCAACAGTGGCTGGCATGAAGGGAATCCCTGATACAGAAGGAAGTGCTGGGTCATTATGAATAATTTGCTGAGCTTTGATGAGTAATTGATTTTATAGAATGATTTACCAATCAAAGAGGATTACACTTTGAAGAGTGACTGAGAACAATGTGTGACTTGCGTTGGTGCGTCTAAGGGAATGTGCAACAGCACTTTGTTGAATCAGCCTTTTTTTAGTTTTGCTTCATTGTCGATGTGTGCTGTATAATACAAAGAATAAGTTATCAACTGTAACCTGGTGCACGTATATATATATTTGTGTTTGCCGAAACATATATTCCCAAAACATATTACGATATATGGTATTTAAACAATTTTTTTAACACATTGTGTTAAAAAAATTGGAAGCTTTGTTATGAAAATGATCTCTCTTTATCGCTGTATTTATTGGGCTTCTGGTTCAATAATGGGATACTTTCATTACATGCATTTTCCAAGACATAGGCATTGGTCACATGATATGCATCATCAGCTATGTGTTCCTTAAGACTGTTAATTATTCTGGTATGCAAAGGATCAGTATATGTTTCCCTGCTTGATAACTTGCCCTTTTAGGCAAGACTGTGCCCTTCATCACACCTGAGTCACTGATATATATTCTAGAAAAGGCTACAGAAACAGAGAATCAGCCTTTTTCATAAACGGTGTGTTATTTCTAAAGCAGGTTCTACTATGCAACACATTGCCTCACGAAGCAGGGACAACCATTCCAGATTAATCCTTGCATATTTGGTCATGTCAGCATAAAACAGGAAAGAGCCCTGCTTTCATTCCTGGGTAAGGTCAGATAGTGGTGAAAGAGGAATCTAGGGTGTGTTTTTTTAGTTTTTTATATACATTTTTATTAGTTTTTTTAACATATAATTTCCAACAATAATATAACATAACTTCTTATCTTATACAGTGGTACCTCGGGTTAAGTACTTAATCCGTTCTGGAGGTCTGTACTTAACCTGAAACTGTTCTTAACCTGAAGCACCACTTTAGCTAATGTGGCCTCCCACTGCCGCTGCGCCGCCAGAGCACAATTTCTGTTCTTATCCTGAAGCAAAGTTCTTAACCCGAGGTAATATTTCTTTGTTAGCAGAGTCTGTAACCTGAAGTGTATGTAACCTGAGGTACCACTGTACAATATTTTAGACTTCCGTCAACACCTCTGATGATTTCCCATTCTTTATCACTTATTCTGCATTTCTTAATTTCTCTATTACACTTAATTATCATTAACTAATAATTCTCCTCATAGTCTTTCTTGCAATATTTCAAATAGTCCTCATTACAGAACTTCTTGCAGTCCTACTAGCATAATCTGTTCATTACAATTGCTTTTCAAATAGTTCATATATTTACTCCAGTCTTCTAAGAATCTCTGTTTATTCGATTTATGAATCGCTTCCGATAATAACATCTCAAAGCGATTTCCACTCAGTTTTGCCCCAGAATTTTCCCTGAAGCAAATATGGATGTTTCTGCTTTGATGAATCACCAAAGGATTTTTAGTAACACAAAAACAGATTATGAATAAAACTACTGAAATTTTTCCACAGGGGAGAGGAGGGGTGATTGATGGTTTGTCAACCTAAGTCATCATTTTCACCTAAGGGGAATTTTGGGGGTGAATTCTTGGTTGGGAAACACAAAGATATTTCAAGGAAAGCTGAACAAATTTTCTAGAAAATGTATCAGGATTTGAAATTATCAGAGTTGGTGAACAAACTTCCATGACAGACTGTTCCCCCAGAACCATGACTCTTCTCTACATGAGAGAATCAGGTGTGTTCTAGGCTGCCCTAGGTTTTCTTTATTTGTTCAGATAATAATAATAATAATAATAATAATAATAATAATAATAATTTATACCGTGCCCATCTGGCTAGGTTTCCCCAGCAACTCTAGGTGGCTCCAAACAGAATATTAAAAACACAATAAAACCTCAAACATTAAACATTAAAAATTTCCCTAAACAGGGCTGCCTTCAGATGTCTTCTAAAAGTCAGATAGTTGTTTGTTTCCTTGACATATGATGGGAGGGCATTTCACAGGGCGGGCACCACTACCAGTGTGAGAGCCAGTGTGATGTAGTGGTTAAGAGCGGTAGACTCGTAATCTGGTGAACCAGGTTCGCATCTCCGCTCCTCCACATGCAGCTGCTGGGTGACCTTGGGCTAGTCACACTTCTTTGAAGTCTCTCAGCCCCACTCACCTCACAGAGTGTTTGTTGTGGGGGAGGAAGGGAAAGGAGAATGTTAGCAGCTTTGAGACTCATTAGGGTAGTGATAAAGAGGGATATCAAATCCAAACTCTAAATCCCAACTCTACCAGGAAGACCCTCTGCCTGGTTCCCTGTAACCTCAGTGAGGGAACTGCCAGAAGGCTGAGCTGGTCCTCAGTGTCCGGACTGAACGAGGGGAGTGGAGATGCACCTCCAGGTATAATGCGTAAAGGAGAGATTGATTAGCTTTCTCCTTGGAGAGCCACATGAGGTCTTAATGGGAAAGATGAGCAAGGATTGGAAACCTGTGGTCCTCCATCTGTTGTTTGGCTCCAACACCATCAGCCCCAGCTAGCATGACCAAACCGGGGGTTATGGGAGCTGGAGTCCCAACAACAGAAGAAGGACCACAACTTCGTCACCCCTGTTTTACATTTCCCACCTGATGACACAAAAAGCAGCAGCGTGAATTTGTTTGCACATATCATTCTCAATGTTTCCAGTGCGATCTAAAATGCCTGGAGCATCTTACTCAGTTGGGTTCCGTTCTTAATTGCTAGCGATGCTGCAGCCTAAAATTATTTCATCTCGGTGAATTGAAGTGGACGTCTGGTGATTTACTTTGAGGCACACCAGGTCTGACCATAGCAAGACTTGGCACTATCCATGTGAGTTTCACGGTTTGATCAGGCAAAGAAAGTGAAGGAAGCAAACTTGTTGCATCTGTTTCTCTTCTGCCACCCACTCTCCAGTATACAGACACACGGGACTTGCTCATTGCGTCTCTTCTGCATAGTGTAAGCCATTTGGTCACTGATGCATCTCTCTCAAAATTTCTCAATTTTTAAAGAATGCTATCATAATCCAGATTTTTCAAATGTCCCGATACACAAATGGAAATAGGTTTTCTTTTAAACGGTGCCAAACATGTGTGCTGAGACAACAGATTGTGGGAACCAAAATCACAGACGATTTTCAGGGATATTAATGCACCCAGTCTCTCTTTATTCCCCTATTGAGCTCAATGGGAAAAGACCACCTACAGGCTGAATCCCTCCATCTGCAGGGCCTGGAACTTTTATAAACTGCTTGGCTTGCATGACTTGCAAAGGGGTTTTTAGCACCCAGATGTTTAAAATCATACAATCAAAGGGAACCATTTTACTATATAAAAACAATATTGAAAGCACAACACTCCAGCACTAGAAGAAGTCAAAGTTTATGGCCTGACTGAACCTCTGTTGTTGCCATACGCATCACACTGTCCCATGGGAACAGATAAACATTTGTCAAGGTGAATAGGCCTTTAATGGAGACACCTCCTTTGAAGCCTTTGCCCTGCAGGTGTCTTTGAACTCAAAAGTTTACACTCAGTGTGTGAAGCATCTAAATCTCTGAAATCAGCCCTGTAGCATTGCTAATTTTGCTTATGAAATTTCTGCTTTCTATTTAAAGTGTCTATTTAAAGTGATTGAACAGTCCAAGGCACTTTTGACATCCTCCCCCAGAGAAAGGTGTCAGCCTGAGGGCCACATTGCCTTCCAAGGTGACCTTGCAGGGTCCACATGCTAGAGGTGAGTGAAGCCAGAAGCAAAAATCAACTGGAGCAATGAATGCAATTTTTACCTTTGTACAGCTGGCTAGTTTCTCTGCCTATCCTCATTCAGGCAAGCAAGAACTGTTATCAGCTTGAAGGTGACCTGGAAACTACAACTAATCCAGAATGCGGCAGCTAGACTGGTAACTGGGAGCGGCCGCCGAACCATATAACACTGGTCTTGAAAGACCTACACTGGCTCCCAGTACATTTCTGAGCACAATTCAAAGTATTGGTGCTGACCTTTAAAGCCCTAAACGGCCTTGGTCCAGTATACCTGAAGGAGCGTCTTTACCCCCATAGTTCTGCCCGGAAACTGAGGTCCAGTGCTGAGGACCTTCTGGCGGTTCCCTCGCTGTGAGAAGCCAAGTTACAGGGAACCAGGCAGAGGGCCTTCTCGGTAGTGGCACCTGCCCTGTGCAACGCCCTCCCACCAGATGTCAAGGAGAAAAACAACTACCAGATTTTTAGAAGACATCTGAAGGCAGCCCTGTTTAGGGAAGATTTAATGTTTAATAGGTTATTGTATTTTAATATTCCGTTGGAAGCCGCCCAGAGTGGCTGGAGAAACCCAGCCAGATGGGTGGGGTATAAATAATAATTTATTATTATTATTATTATTATTATTATTATTATTATTATTAGGTGCATTCCAGCCAGGCAAAAACCACTCAAGTAAGGTGAGAAGGAAAGCAGGTGAGGGGTGTGGCCTAGGGAGAGGGTGTCTGTGGCTGGGCAGGCCTGAAGAAGAGTCCCAAAGCAGGCAGAGAAGCCTGGAGGGCTACATTTGGCCCCTGAGTCTGAGTTTCCCAACCTGTCTCTTAGATGGATGTAGTACAAGAAAGAGGTTTGTCTAGCTCAATGGCCCATGCAACATTGGACAATCAAAGGCAGACATGGTTTTTCCTGTTGAAGGCAGCCATTATGTCTACGCCCAGCAGCACTTCCTGTGAGCAGCACCCTGCTCACCCCCCCACACCCGGTCTATGGGTTCATAATAATTCATTTTACCCTAAGTCACAACCCGCAGGTTTTCTGTATGTTTGCGGGAAAGAGGGACAATGGTATTACACAATGGGTAAGCACCTTAAGGGGCTGAAATGGTAAAGGGAGAATTGTCTCAACCAAACCTCTTGTGGATCACATACTCACCAACATGTGTTAAATAAAAATAGGGTCATCCTATTTCAGACTCCCTACATTTCTTCAATGAAAAGAGGGACATCCCTCTAACATTTCTCTGATGAAGATAGGGATGTCCTATTCTCTATCCGCCAACATTTCTCTGATTAAAATAGTGATCGCCTACTATACCGTCCAACATTGCTCTGATGAAAATAGGAATGTCCTAAAGTAAAGCAGGACATTCCAGGATCAAATCAGAAACCAGGGCGGCTTCTGTAAATCTGGGACTATCCCTGGGAAATGGGGACATGTGGATTGTCTGGGATCACTGTCACAAGAGGGCCTAGTGCAAGTAATCCTGACAGACTTATATTATTTATTTATTTAACCAATTTATATACAATTTAACTGCATTAGCCTCTAAGTGGTTTTTAAAAGATACAAAGCAGTTTGCAATAGACTCTAAGCGATTTATAGATCCATGAGGCTTAACACTGGGGAGGCTGGTGGTGCGGGCAAGGCCTCCATGACACACTGTTCAGTTGTGTGTGCAATCAGGTGTGAAAGCCTGTGATAGCCCTGATCTGATGTTTGGAGGAAGACCTCCCACACAAAGTGAGCATCAAGGGATGTCATCTTATACCTCTCATTCTGGTAGATGCCCTAATGTAGAAGACCTTGGCGTGAACTCATTAAGAAGACTGCAGATCAGACATCAACATTAAGAAAGTTGGGGCCTATGAATCAATCCATTTACTGTGCCTTACATCTTCTGAGGAAGTGTGGGGGTGGGAATGGTCTCAAAGCAAAGTAAAGGACATGGGTCTCCAACTTTTACGAAGGATCCAAGTTCCTTAGAGGTATATGCTTGTCAGCATATGCTTGTCAGAAATGTCCCATTTATGTGCTGGTGTGGTGATCTAACACTTTTTTATAATCAAAAGGGGTATTTCAATATTTAGAATGGTAAATATTGAAATGGTACAGCTCCCATCACTCTGGACCATTAGCCATGCTGACTGGAACTGATGGGGGTCCAGCCAGCAACATCTGGAGTACCACAGGTTAGCCACTCTGATCTAGAAACTTGGAGGCAGCTTGAATTTCTATCTAAATGGCAGTATTTCAGTGATGGATATCCTCTGGTTATGTGGTTTATGAATAACAGAATGATAAGGACTTATCAAACTGGTTGGCTGAGGTTGAGGTTGTATTGGAGGAAGGACAAAGGTGAGCTAAGATCTTAATCCTGTTGACTTTTCCAGCAAACTTACAGGAAATGATTCAGGTGAACTTTCTCCAGAACTGAAGTCAGAACATCAGGATTGGCCATATGCAGTTACTATAGATCAGCTCTGCAAGTTACCAAGAATGGTGCAGAATAGAGAAGTATGGGATTGGGCTATTATATTTTGAGTGCTATTTCTCTGCAGATATTTCTATTTTCTAGGATGCTGGCATTGTATATTCAGGAAACACTGACAAAAAAGAATGGATAAAAGGAAGTTGCACAATGCACATAGAAATACATAGAATTCAATTTATTGTTCAGAATTGTGTGTCATGCTCCCCTTTTTAAAAATGCAAACTGGTGTCATTATTGTGCATCATATACATTGCTGCCATAACTGCATCCAACTTGGACATCCCTTCACTGCTGCTCTCTCATAGAATTGTAGAACTGTAGAGTTGGAAGGGTCCCTGAGGGTCATCTAGTCCAACCACCTGTGATGCAGCAATCTCAACTAAATCATGCATGACAGATGGCCATCCAAACTCTGCTCTCTATGTGCATCCAGACATGCTGCCTATTTGCAGCATTTATCAGCCAAAGCAAATGTTCACATTGTAGAAAGGCAATCTCAGATACAAACATCATTAGTTTTTTAAATGACGGTGCACAGAAAAGTTTAATACTTAAAGGACATTATTTGACCCATCTGGTAGATGGGTTTCTCAATTTGACAAGCCTTCCATTAGAGGTTCAGAGGACACTTGAGGCCATCCTCCCAATTCTTTAAGGTATGAGCTCCAGCCCAGTGATTTTTGGCATCTGAACCCAAATTTAGACTGAAGGCTGTAATCTTCTGCTCAGGATCTTTGAGTCAGTAGCTGGAGCTGAGAGTTTCAGCTGGAGCAGAAAGAGAATGCCGCTGTTGACCAATATTTCTATCAAGACCTGTTTAATCCAAGGATTTCATGCTGGCTCTTCAATCACATAGGCAGACGCTGCAATGTCCGGATTCCTGTCTGTCTCTGAAGACAGAAAGGAGGAGGACTCTGAGGTAGGGTTGCCACCTTTGGTCAGGCAAAATAAAGGACAGGTCAGGAGGGAATTGGGTGAGTAAATTACTGTACAGGGTGCAGAAATGACTTCAAACCAATCTATTACAATGGCACACAGGGGCTACAGTGGTTTATTCAATGAAAAAAACAACCAACACACTGTGCTGCTGCAAACTCCCTCTCACTTTCTGTCCCTCCTCCTCCACCGCTGCCCAAGCAAAAATTATATCTGCCCCCGCCCCCCCTCCATTGGATGAAAAGAAGCTGGGACATATCTGACCTACCCACCTCTTCCCGTGCAAAAACTCTCTCCCACAGTGGACCAGGCCTCTGCAAACCCTCTCACTCACTCATCACCAACCCCACCTATTGAAAACATAAGATGCTACTGTAGCAGGACCATGCAAACCCCCTATATCACTCTCTGCAACCCACCCTCTGCATAGCTGTCAACTTTCAGATTTGAAAATAAGGGATCAGCAGCCTCACCTATCCCGGGGACAGTCTATGGGATATCTAACCTTCTGGGATAGCAGTGGGAAGCAGCGGGAAACGGCACTGGAATAAGGGAATTTCCCGCAAAAAAAGGGAAGGTTGACAGCTATGACCCTCTGCCCGTGCAAAAGCACACACACTCTCTCTCTAAGTCCTCCTCTCAACCCCACCTCACCCTCTGCCTGCACCCCACAATAACTCTTGCTGTCACCCTCTGCTCTCCTCCACATGGCTCCACCTTCTACCTGCACGGTTTGGAGGAGGAGGATGAGCTTAAATACATGAGAAAAGGCATGCTGTTTGAAGTCCAAACAGGACAGGGGACACTTTTCTCCAAAAAGAAAAAAGAAAAAAGACAATCACATTTTTTAAGGGATGGGTGGCAACCCTACTCTGGGGACTTGGGCACCCCATGGTAGGCAAAAAGGCTAGCCTCAGTCCTTGGCTGAAGCCCTGGAATCCTTGCTGTGAATGTAGGATGCTGCATCAGTCCAACTGCCCACCCAGGTTTAGATCTCCCGATATCTCTCTTTCAAGTTCCTTCTGTTACGTACTTTAGGCAGGTTCACAGTCCTGCATGAAATGTAGTCCGCTTCAATTTCTTCTCCTGCTCTGTCTCCACCTCTTGATCCCTCCCCTCCTGCCTCTTCCTGAAGCATTCAAGCACCAAGCTTTTGAAAATCCTGACCCGGCACGACTTTTTGCATGGTGCAGGTGCGTTTTACAACAGGTGTGGGCTGGATGGTTGCGGGCAGCTTAGAAAACCAGCCTTTTCCCTTCTGTACTTCAGAGATAATTAAAATGCAGTCAACAAGTTGATGACTAGGGGGAAAGAGTGAATTGACACACAAGCACCTTTTGGGTTTCATCCCTTTGATGAAACTCGGTTGCATAACGTGGCCAATTATGAACGCAATTTACAACCCAGTTTCATGAGCACTACCATATTTAATAGCTCATTTCCCTTGACAAGCTAATTCTCCTTGAATGTACACATTACCTTTTATTTTTTTCCCCTTACTGTCTTCAATTAGACACCTGCCCTGTGTATTCAACTAATCGTGCACCTGTCTGAGCTATTAATCACCTGTGTATCTGTCAGAAGTGTCATCTCAGTAAAAACACCTGTAGAAGCAGAAGTCACATATCCTATCATAACTGAGTGCTCAGATTTCACAGTCACTCGCTAGGCTAGGTCCTCCAGCCCTGAAGATCAACCATGAATAAAATCAGTGGGAATCTGAAAGCTCAGAAGTTGGTTCATTTCAGTGGAGCTTAATTGCCTTCACAGAGCTCCTTCACACATAATTTTTAAGCAAGTCATTAGGCTTGTTTTCATATTCGCCATCCAGCATCCTTTCGGTTTACTGGGACATAGAAAACCTTTCAGTCTGAATACAACTTTTTGAGGGCGTATGCTTATGGTGGTATACACCCCTCCCCCCCAAAAAAAAATTTCCAACAACCTTTTTGACCTCCATCAATGGGGTAAAAGAATTGTAGGCACCAGAGAGGTATACGTGTCTTTCAATATGAATATACATCCATAACTGACATTATGCAGCATAATGATAGCAAATATGTTCATGGGCACATGTTCCACCTGAAATATAATTTTCCAGGACTTTTGAGAGCACCAACTGGCTCTTAAGCTTGCTGGATAACATGTTTTGGTTGGGTTTTTTTTTAAAAGGGCAGCAGTGTCATTATTTTATAGAATATTTGAGCCAGGTCCAGTTATAGAGTTTTATATAATTAAAAAGTGATTATGTAATTGAGAAATGATGTGGTGGTGACTCGAGGGCAGCACCTGGCTCGTGAAATGATTTTGTCCAGCCGCCGAGAGTCTATATAATGAGCACAGTGTTCCTGTGAGAGACCAAATGGCTTATTGGACCCGGTTCCCTGATTTTCTGGCTCATGACACACAGTCTGGCAAGGTGGCCATCTTGCTTAGGGGTTGCTCCTGGTGGCAACATTTCATTTTGGGCAACATATACTTCTTTTTGTATTTTTATTGTTAGGCCTTAATATGAACTTAATTTTGGCCAATGCGTACTTCATTTGTGTTTTTACTGTTGGATCTTAGTGGAGTGTTTTATTCTGAATCAACTAATATGAGATATTTCCATTGGCCTTCTGGATTGTTGTTTCTACCATCTATTTTAAGTTTTGCTTGTGTTTCTTGTAACAACATCATAATGAATAATCTTGAAATGTTGCATTTACAGTGGTACCTCAGGTTAAGTACTTAATTCATTCCGGAGGTCCGTTCTTAACCTGAAACTGTTCTTAACCTGAAGCACCACTTTAGCTAATGGGGCATCCTGCTGCTGCCATGCCGCTGGAGCATGATTTCTGTTCTCATCCTGAAGCAAAGTTCTTAACCTGAAGCACTATTTCTGGGTTAGCAGAGTCTATAACCTGAAGCGTATGTTACCTGAAGCGTATGTAACCCAAGGTACCACTGTAGTTCTTTTCTCAGGTTCTTGTGATTGTGAGCCACATTGAGCCTGGTTTGCTGTGGAGCAAACCATAAACTGATGGCGGTACTCAGTACAGAGCTGACTGTGAAAGACCCTGTCATCTTCTCTCTTCATCCATAGACAGGAGGAAGTAGGAAATCACTTTAGAGTTTGAGCAGAACTGTTCTCTGTATCAATTTGTGAAGCCCAGACATGGGAGGCCTTAAGGCGAGCAATCAAAATTGCCATACCATTTGGTAAAGTTAAACTCCCCAAAGGTAGGATGTAACCTGTGATGGGATTATGAGCTGCTTGTGCGTAAAATCGTATTCCCTCAGAGTTTGTTCAAGTCCACAAACCTCTGTCTGTGACTGAGCCCCTCTGACATGGCTCCTCTTAGTCACTAGAAGATTCCGACAGTGGTTGCTTTCGTGATCGCTTCCAACATAAAAGCTCCTTAACGGAAACACGTCTTCTGGACTCTCTGCGTGACAGTTTCCGGCGAGGAGTGGGTGTCGCTACAGGAGGTCCGGAAGCCTCACCACTGTTTTCGCTGGAAGTATCTCTGAGCCATCCCCCCAGCTCCCTTTCCCTCAGTTCAGCTTCTCTCCCCCTGCTGGTTTCCTCTTCAGCTGCTAAGTCTCTTCCAACCTGTCTGAGCCCTTTCACCTCCCTCAGTTCAGCTTCTCTCCCCCGCGGGTTTCCTCTTCAGCTGCTAAGTCTCGTCCAACCTGTCTGAGTCCTTTCACCTCCCGTCCTACCGATGGCAGTTCCCTGACATCCACCTCCCCTCCAGGGCCCCCTTCACCCCCTCTCGCCCCCTCCTATACGGGCGGTGAGGAGGCAACACCCGGGAATGAACTTCCTTCATCTTCCGATGTCTCGAACACTTCTCTCCACCTGTTGCGGTTCCTGGTCTCGAAGCACTCCTCCTCCTCCGAGTCCATCTCCCTTCCCCTTCCGATTCTGGGAATCCTTCCAACTCCTCCTCCTCCTCAGTGGTCCCAAAGTATTCCCTCCGGAACCTCTCCACAGGCTGAGGTTTCCGCGGGAACCTTTGATGGAACATTTCTATCAATACCTCGTCATTGATATCTTTGGCCATTACCCACGTGTTTTCTGACTCCGGTTCTCCTTCCCACGCTACCAAATACTCCACCTGATTCCCCTTCCACCTGGCATCAAGGATTTCTGCCACATGACTGCTGCATTCTCTTTCTTCTATGACCAGTCCCCGAGTGGCCATCCCTTCTCGTCCCCCCTCGTACGGTGACAGTAACGACCTGTGAAATACTGGGTGCAGTTTCATGTGGTTGGGTAACCGGAGCCTGAAAGCCACTGGGTTGACCTGTTGAATGACCTCAAAGGGACCCAACCTCCTGGGTCTTAATTTCTTACAACCTCCTTTGAGCGGCAGCCCTCGGGTTGACAGCCACACCCTCTCTCCAACCCTTATGGTTTCACCTTCCCTTCGGTTCTTGTCTGCCTGCCTCTTGTATTCTTCCTTCGCCCTTTCTAAGTTGAGTTGGAGCTGACGGTGGATTGCTTCCATTTCTTCTACAAAATGCTCGGCTGCCGGTACGCTCCATCTCTCCCCTTCTCCCCCTGGGAAAGCCCTGGGATGACACCCATAATTAGCCAAGAAGGGGCTCATCCCTGTGGACACATTCTCGGCATTGTTGTAGGCAAATTCCGCCAGCGCCAACTTTTCTACCCAGTCATTCTCTCTGTCATTGACATAACACCTCAGGTATTGCTGGAGGACACCGTTTGCTCTTTCCGCCTGCCCGTTGGTTTCAGGGTGCCGGGCAGTCGAAAAGTTGACCTCCACCTGCAGTAAGCTCATGAGCTTCCTCCAGAACCTGGAAGTAAATTGTTTTCCTCGGTCTGAGACCACCCTCAATGGCACCCCGTGCAACCTAAAAATGTGTTCTACAAATAACTTTGCTGTCTCTTCCGCCGTGACTGCATGCGAGCAAGCTACAAAGTGGCACATCTTTGTTAGTAGGTCTACCACCACCATGATGGCTGTTTTCCCTTTGGACTTCGGCAGATCAGTCATAAAATCTATCGACACTGCCTCCCAAGGTCGTTCTGGTGTTGGTAAGGGTTCTAATAGCCCCGCCGGCGCCCGCCTTTCCCCTTTGGCTCGCTGGCACTGCTCGCACCCTCTTACATACTCACGTACATCCTCCCTCACCTTAGGCCACCAAAATTCCCTGGTGACCAACCACATGGTTTTGTGTTGCCCAAAATGCCCCGCCGTGGGGCTGTCATGCAACTGCTTGAGTACCCTCCCCTTAAGTCTCCTTCAGGGATATACAGTGCCCCTTTGTAATACAAAGCTCCATTTCTTTCCTCGAAACCCCTTGATTCCTCTCCCTCATCCCTAAGACCTCTAAGCTTATTCTGGGCGTATTCATCATTCTCTGTTTCTTCTACCAGTTCTCTTTGTCCCACCAATGCCGCCCACACACCCAGCGGTCCTCTGGAATGACATGTCTCTCTTGGGTGCTCCCTCCCCTCCAAATATTCAGGTTTGCGTGAGAGAGCGTCCGCCTAATATTCTCTGGGCCTGGCACGTAACAAATCTCAAAGTTAAATTTGGAGAATTCCTGAGCCCATCTCACTTGCCGTTGGTTGAGCACTCGTGCCGTCCTCCAATACTCTAGGTTCTTGTGGTCAGTGCACACTTGCACCTTATGTTGTGCGCCAATTAGCAGGTGCCTCCATCTCCGGAACGCCTCATGAATGGCTAGTAGTTCTCGGTCATACACCGTGTAGTTCCTCTCGGATTTGTTCAGCTTTCGCGAAAAAAGCACACGGTCTCCACTCTGACTCCTCCTTCCCTGGCTGGAGAAGCACCGCCCCAACCGCTCTGTCTGATGCATCAGTTTCCACTCTCATCGGTTTTGTAAATCCACATGCAGGAGCTGTTGTTCCGAGGCGAAGGCCCTTTTAGTTCCTCAAATGCTTGCTCCGCCTCCTCCGTCCAAGCGAACTTCTTCTTACTGCTGAGACAGTCCGTAATGGGCGCCGTCAGGTGGGCAAAGTTTGGGATGAACTTACGATAGAAGTTCCCAAACCCTAAAAACCTCTGCACATCCTTCCTTGTTTTGGGTGTTTTCCATTCCAGTACCGCCTGGACCTTGCCGGGATCCATGGCCAACCCCTTGTCAGACAGGCGATACCCCAGGAATTCCACCTCCTTGGTATGAAACTGACACTTCTCCAGTTTCACCCACAGCTGGTTGGCTTGCAGCCTGCTCAACACTTCTCTGACGTCTCTCACATGCTGCTCCTCATTCTCAGAATACACCAACACGTCGTCTAAGAAGGCCACACAATTCTTGTAAAGCAACGGCCCCAGGACGTGGTTCATAAACGATTGAAATGTTGCGGAGCCTGCTTGTAGACCGAAGGGCATAACTAAGTATTCAAATGCCCTAAAGGGGTGAACATGGTGGTTTTCCATTCATCCCCCTTCCTTATTCGTATCAGGTTGTACGCCCCCTTAGATCCAGCTTGGTGAAAATCTTTCCCTTTCGCACCCTTGTCAAAATGTCGTCAATCCTGGGCATCGGGAAGGCCACTGGTTCTGACACTGCATTTAAGGCCCTGAAGTCACACACCAGTCTCGGCTTGTTCGTGTTTTTGTCCACAAAAACACTGGGCTGCCCCACCGCCCTGGACTCTCTGATGAACCCTCTCTTCAGGTTCTTGTCAATGAACTCTCTTAGCTCCTGCATCTCTCTGTCTGACATGGCGTACAGCTTGCCCACAGGGAGCTGTGCCCCAGGGAGCAAATTGATTTGACAGTCAAAGGCTCTATGCGGTGGTAGTTGGTCAGCTTCCCTTTCGCTGAAGACGTCGCGGAGATCTGCGTATTGTCGTGGTACCTTCACGTTCTCCTTCACTTCAGTCCCTGCTAGGGTGGCTTGGGCCCCTGCCAAAACCTTTCCCTCTTTGCAATGTTCTAAGCAATGTGCTGACCCAAAGAAACCACTCTCTGATGCCAGCCCACCAGCGGATCATGTAACGCTAGCCAGCTCATCCCCAATATAATGGGAGCTCCTCCCAAGGTGGCCACATTAAAAGCTATCAGTTCAGTGTGCCTTGCCACCTTCATTATCATTGGGACGGTCTGCAAGCTGACTTCTCCTCCCAACAGCTCCCTGCCATCGATCGTGGTTACCTGCAGGGGGTTGCTTAAAGGGAGCGTCTGTATCTGGTGTTCAGCTGCAAACTCTTTGCTCATGAAATTGCAGGAGCTGCCTGAGTCCAACAGCGCCTTTATCTTTAGAGGGTGTCCGTTTGGGAGCTCTAGTGTCACTTCTATCACTAGGGCGGGTTTAGGAGGTTCTGGAGTGGGCACTTTCACTGCTCTTTGGCCTGGCTGCTGTGCCCCGACAATGGCAGCCAGGCGTTGGCTTTAGTTGCTCCGGTATTTTTCCTCTCTTCCCTCCACAGCTCCCACCATCCCTTGCCATTCCTTCCTCTGGGGGCAGACTCTGGCAAAGTGCCCTGGCTGTTGGCAGAGATAGCATTTCCGGGCGCCTTTTCCATCCTTCTTTCCCCCTCACTGGGCTTTGAAACTGCGCGCGCGCTGCTGTTCCGATTTCCATCGGCTCTGCCGGCGGGACAGTTGGCTCTGGAATTTCTGGAATGCGGAACTCCTTCCAACGTTCCCCTTTCCCTTCCCGCCTCTCCAATGCTCTCGCCTCCTGGCGCGCTCCTATGGCCAGCGCTGATTTGGTCAGCTGGTCCATAGACTCCGCCCTGGGCGCCCGGGAAAGTTCATCTTTCACAGCCGAAGAAAGCCCTTCTTCAAAGAGCATTTGAATGGGTTCCGCCGATAAGTCCCACCCCAATCTGTGTATCAGCATGGTGAACTCAGTCCAGTACTCACGTACAGATCGGCTCCCCTGTTTGCAAGCCATTAACTGTCTGCGCACCACTCCCTTTTCAATATCGCTGGAAAACATCAGATCCATGGCGCGAAAGAACTTCATCGTGTCCTTTAAGACGTCACTATTAGCTGCCATCAGGGTCTAACCCAGTCTCTCGCCCCCTTTTCAAGATGCCCAATCACAAAAGCCACTCGTGATTCCTCATCAGGAAATCATCAAACTGCAGATTGAGGGCATATTGCATTTCTGTCCAAAGCTATGATAGTCTTTGGGCTCCCCCAAATTTTGCACCAATCCTGGTACCTTTCTGGCGAGCTGGGTGGCTTTCTCCCTTTGTCTGCATCTTGAGCCCTCCTCTCCTCCAGCCTCGCCGTCTGCAGCGCCAGCTGGACCTCCAACACTCGGTACCTTTCTTCCAGGCTTGGACCCGCTCCAGCCCCTGCTTCTCCGGTTCCTGCTGGGTTGCTCATTATGCCTTCTCCTGCACAAGCTGCGTTCAAAGACTGTCGGAATGCTGTGATGGGATTATGAGCTGCTTGTGCGTAAAATCGTATTCCCTCAGAGTTTGTTCAAGTCCACAAACCTCTGTCTGTGACTGAGCCCCTCTGACATGGCTCCTCTTAGTCACTAGAAGATTCCGACAGTGGTTGCTTTCGTAATCGCTTCCAACATAAAAGCTCCTTAACGGAAACACGTCTTCTGGACTCTCTGCGTGACAGTTTCCGGCGAGGAGTGGGTGTCGCTACAGGAGGTCCGGAGGCCTCACCACTGTTTTCGCTGGAAGTATCTCTGAGCCATCCCCCAGCTCCCTTTCCCTCAGTTCAGCTTCTCTCCCCTGCTGGTTTCCTCTTCAGCTGCTAAGTCTCTTCCAACCTGTCTGAGCCCTTTCACCTCCCTCAGTTCAGCTTCTCTCCCCCTGCTGGTTTCCTCTTCAGCTGCTAAGTCTCTTCCAACCTGTCTGAGTCCTTTCACCTCCCTTCCTACCGATGGCAGTTCCCTGACATAACCTTTCTTCATTTTTTAGCTCCTAAGCAAGCAAACAAACAAATAAACATGCACTTTTACCTGCACCTCCACCCATTTTAAAACAATACTAAAACCACAGTCTCAACTCAGACAGAAGAGAAGTCACCTAGCCCAGCCCTGAGGACGAGGCCACCTTAGCTGAGTCAGGGATTCAACTCAATTTAACCAGGAAGCAACAAGGGCACTCATGATTGTTTTTTCTTCTTCTTTAATAAAGAAAACATCTAGCAGAACAAACAAATTAACTATAGCGGCATATGAGTGGATGAGATCACCTAATGCACCCTTGGTTGAGGTGCTATAGCCTAGACGCCATTATAAACAAATAAACTCTAGGCATATATATATATATATATATATATATATATATATATATATTCTGCTGCTTTTGCATTCCACAGAGATTATTAGTTACAATGGGTTACTTTAGAACAAGTTGTGGAATGATGCACAATTAACAGACATGAGGCCTTGCCTCAGGATGGTCTATGGTCCCAACTAGAGACATCCTAGTTTTTTCTCATGAGACAACAGAGACCACTTGGGGCACTGTGATCTCATGTGATTTTGCACTGCAACCTCCCCCCCCCCAAAAAAAAACTTTGAGGGGGCCATGGATGGTGGGGGGTGAGCAATGAGGTCACATGGGATGGCTGTGGTGATATTGGGCCTGTGCGAGGGGGCAGAGGCATGGTGTGCCTAGGTTAGAAGAGGGTGGAGGGTATGCAGAGCGACCATCTGCAGACTTCTTGGGTAACCCTGGTAAAGGGTTGTGTTGCTTGACTTGAAAATAGTCATGTGATGTGGCCTTGTATAGGCCTCGGGCTGAGTCACGTTCTTCAAATCCTGTACGACTGGGAGATCTCTTGCCTTGTGAATTCCCCATTTGCATCTCATGATGGCCCAAAACTTCCAGACATAGTGAAATTGCCTCCAAGGCCTGTAACACCCAGACATCTTGTCAGCTACTGCGTGGCTGACCTGCCTTCAACAATAGGAAGTGGGTGGATGAGGGACGGTGACAGCAATTCCGACACTGCAATTCCCTTCCCCTTTTGTTTTGTTTCTGAACCATGTGGATTTGAGGATTTGGTGTGCATAATGAGGATAGCCTAGGTCTATTGTAATCAGACACATGGGCAGAGGACCATTCCAAAAGGCCCCCCCCCCCTGTGTCCTTAGGTACAGAGTAGCTTCAGTGAGGCATTTATCTTCATGCAGGGGCATGCAATGGTGCCCTCATTGCCACTGCTGAACTCCATTTACCTCTCAGATTGATCAAGAGCTGGCTCCTGACTGGTACCAGGTAGTTTCATCTAAGTCGGTAATATTCAAATTATATTTGAAACACTGATGAGCTCAGAAAGCAAATTGAGAAACATTGCATAATGATTAATGGATTATGATTAATCTAATAACTTGGAACCATTTCTGTTTTTAAAACCATTGCAACAGCACACTTTTTTTTTTGCTGTTTCTTGTACAAATTGGGGTTTTTGGTGATGGTAGCTGGATGGAGAATTAAAATACGGGTCTTAAAATATTTCTGGTTATACAGATAAAGGAGCAGCTTTCATGCCCCTTCATCGATACTTATACAGTTGATTGAGTCATTTAGCATTGATGTCATCCATTTAAATTGGAAAATGAGAATTTAATCAAGGAGATAACTTGGTTGCAATCTGAAACCGAGAGTTCCTGTAATCAGGGAAAGATAAGCTGGCTTGGTATCTCTGAAGATGCATAGTTTTTACCAAGGAAGGATGCCAATTTTAATTTCAAAATGTGACATTGTAATTGCAAAGCACAGAGCCCTATGTTGTGTGAAATGCTTTTCCTTCAAGGTAGGCAGATTTTAGTGTCTGGCTTACAGTGCTGCATAGCTAGGGAATTAGAACAACCTCTAGATTCTAGAAGATATGAGACAGATTTTTCTATTTTATGTTTAGAATACTCATTTAGAACTCTTTCCTAGGGCTAGTTGTTCCTTAAAGCATAAAAACAAAACAGAGCGTTAAAACTCTTCAAAGTTTTCGTGAAAAATTCTGTATAAGTTCAAGCATTCTGTTGGAAAGGACCAGAGAAATATTGTGCCTGTACTATATGAATGGTTCAAAAGACATTCATACAGTGGTACCTCGGATTAAAAACTTAATTCGTCCTGGAGGTCTATTCTTAACCTGAAACTGTTCTTAACCTGAAGCACCACTTTAGCTAATGGGGCCTGCTGCTGCTGCTGCGCCGCCACTGCACGTTTTCTGTTCTCATCCTGAAGCAAAGTTCTTAATCCGAGGTACTATTTCTGGGTTAGCAGAGTCTGTAACCTGAAGCGTCTGTAACCCGAGGTACCACTGTACATTATTTTAGCATACTGTATTTTGAATCCTATCATGTCATCAATAGAGTCATGTCATTCTTCATTCACAGCACTTGCCACAATTTCATTGTTGCAATTGACAAGGGATGCACTAAAGTTCTTCAATTCATTCCGACATTCACCTGGTATTTTCTGCTCTGCTGCAATTGATTTATTTTGCACAACTCTTTTGTTTTGTTGTCCACTTGATGTGGAAATATGTTCCATTTTTACATATACCATAGAACACACTAGACACACATAACTCAGCCATCAACAGATATTTACACACCAATTGCCTTCCTCTGTATGTTGTTTTTCAATATTAATTTCCAGAAGGGTAGCCCTAGTAGTTGTTGTCTTTTTGCATCTAAACTAAACCCATCTTCTCAAAAGTAAGTCCCATTGAACTCAATGGGGTTTACTCCCAGGAAAGCGGGGTTTGGACTGCAGCCTATTTTGCTAGCTTGAGTTCACTGTTCAGTATAATCTTGTCATCCAGTCTCATTTCTCTCACTCAGGTGTCAGGGAGGGAAAGTTCAGCACCCTCTGGATATTTTTACTCTTTGTATCATGGACTGTATGAATTAGTCCTTCAGATATGCAGGAAGTGAAGCAAGAACATGTTTAAAACAAAGATTAGGGGGATGGATGGTTAAAATGAGCAGTTACATCTAGATGGTTCTCCCCATGTTGACAAAGAAGCTCGGATAAGAAGTGAGGAGCACAGATAAACTCTACAGGTAACAAAATATATCACTTTTTCCATGTGAATTGTAGTGAATGATGGCTGGTTTTTAAAATTCACACTAAGAACAAAAAATATTTGCCTATAGATTGCCTCTAGCAAAAGAACAACTTACATAAACTCAGCGAAAAACACTTCAGGGGAAAAAGTAATGAGACACCTGTTGGGATAGCAGCAATTATGCATCAGCAAATATGTAAATAACATAAATTGCAAAGCAATTTACATATCTATTTGTGCATAATGTGGCATGTTAATTAAAAACCTTCTGCTGTAGAGAACAAAGGCAAAAAGCATTCAAAGCAAGAATTTGTGCCGTGATGGAGGTTGAACAGGCATCTGGAAATAACTCTACCCAATAGACCATTTTCAACATAACCATCCAACATACTCCCTTTGACAACAGTCAGACCACACAGAATAAAATAAACCTGGTTGAAATGGCCAAGGATGAAGTTGGCTGCATTGGCTGGAATGGCTGCTTTGAAATGGCAGTATTTCAAAATAGAAAACACATCTTCACTGGTATGGTGCAAAGGTTAGGGTTTTGGACTACAATGCAGAAGACTCAAGTTCAAATTCCTGTTTAGCCACGAAGCTCACAGGGTGTCCTTAGACTAAAAAGGTAAAGGTATCCTTGCCCGTCAGGGCCAGTCGTGTCCGACTCTAGGGTTGCACGCTCATCTCGCTCAAGAGGCCGGGAGCCGGCGCTGTCCGAAGACACTTCCAGGTCACGTGGCCAGCGTGACTAAGCTGCATCTGGCGAGCCAGCACCAGCGCCACACACGGAAACGCCATTTACCTTCCCGCTGAAAAGCGGTCCCTATTTATCTACTTGCACTTAGGGGTGCTTTCAAACTGCTAGGTAGGCAGGAGCTGGGACCGAACGACCGGAGCTCACCCCGCCGCGGGGATTCGAACCGCCGACCTTTCGATCGGCAGGTCCTAGGCTCTGCGGTTTAACCCACAGCGCCACCCACGTCCCTGTCCTTAGACTAGTTGTGATCTTTTATCCAGCCACAAAGGATTGTTGCGAGGATAAAATTGCAGGGGACTACCACATGCCCTGTCCTGGGCTAAAAGTCTCTTAGAATTATTTTTGTTGGCATCCATTTGTCTCAAGAGACAATGGAGTGTGCCTCGGGGGATAAAGTCATACGGCTGTGTTAGCAGCACCAAATCGACCTCCCTGGGGCACAAGTCTGGGCAGCGTGTATGGAGGTCCTGGGCTGCCCAGACAACAAGAACCGCCACCCCCAGCCTCACTAATGTGGTCCAAAGAAAGCAGAGCAATATGTTTGACACCAGCTTGGCTGCAGAAGTTTCTAGAAGGATGCGTGCAAGGTGCTATCCAATTGTCTTAGGGACTCCACTCCTTATTTACCCCTTAGGCCTTTTCTTCTCCCAAAGATAGCCCACAAGGCAGCAGAAGTTTAGCACCAGCATTTTCATTCTCTGTGATGAGCTACCTTCCCAGGTTGACAAGCCCCATCTGCCCCTTGGAGAGCCAGTGTAGTGGTTAAGAGTAGTGGACTCGAAATCTGGTGAACTGGGTTCGATTCCCCGCTCCTCCACATGCAGCTGCTGGGTGACCTTGGGCCAGTCACACTTCTCTGAAGTCTCTCAGCCCCACTCACCTCACAGAGTGTTTGTTGTGGGGGAGGAAGGGAAAGGAGAATGTTAACCGCTTTGAGACTCCTTCGGGTAGTGATAAAGCGGGATATCAAATCCAAACTCCTCCTCCTCCTCCTCACTTCCCTCTACAGCACACACAGAAACCTCCTTCTTGGCCTTTGGACCCGCTATTGGTCTCATCCACTCAATCTACCGCAGCCTGTCTTTGCATGCAAGGGAAGTCCCTAGCTCACCAAGACTTTAAGACCCATTGGCAAACCTTACCTGGTTTAGCAGGCCACTCGAAGCCGTTCTGGACTGTGGCCACTGTTGCATGATGGCAGTTTCTAGGAGTCACAGGTGAGTCCTGAGTGAAGAGTGGGGACCAGAGGTGGACAAACTACCCCAGAAGGAGCACAGCCTGTCCCCCACCAGAGGTACACTCCCTCCCCTAACACCCCATTCATCCCTTTTTAATATAAAGCAATTAAATAAATCACATTGGACTAGATGACCCTCAGGGTAGCTTCCAGCTCTACAATTCTATGAAATAATTTTAATTGGACACTTGGAATGAAATTGAGTAATCAGTCATATGTAGGGATTCTTAAGGATTTTGATTGCTCTGAATTGTGATGAAAACTGACCAGATCCACACACTTCCCAGACTAATGTATGGGGTAGAACATAATTAACCTTTGGGTTTCACACTTCTCTGAATTTTGCAATACACATCATGGCTCAAAACAGAAATATGTGTTTAAAGTGTATATTTTAGGATAAAATGTGTTCAGAATGGAGACATTAAGATAAAATATTTGCTTCATTGCATATCTTGTGATAAGGTACACAATTAAATGTGTATTTTAATGCAGATTTTTCTCATTCATAGATTAAAAGGGAAATGAGGTGGAATAAATTAATAAAAGAAGGCGTGCAGAATTGACATGGTCTCCAAAGAAACTATTCCATCAATCCCAAAATGTGCCTTAAAAATCCCATCTGGAACTCATAGGCTGAGCAGCGTTTATTCCAATGCAGTAATAAATTCTCCTGCATGAATCCTGCTGAAATTAGTTGGAGTGGTACAAGGTGCTTGTTCAGTCCATTGAGATCGTAATGTTCCTAAATTATAGTTATCTATATTGTCTTGAGCCTTTGAGATGGGGTGGATTAGGGATTCAAATACGTTTGTGCGCATGTGGATCACTGGGACTGAATGGTGATAAATCTCAGCTTTTCCATTTAGGCGTACTGATGATGGCATTGAGAGCACGTGATGGAATCTATGACTAAAATGTATGACCTGTATGATTCTGTTACTCCAGGGGAAATCCGAATTCAGAGAAGCCCAAACGCTGCCATTTTAAAAGCTTTGCATTAGAATACCCAGAAGAAGCCTTTGATAATGCACAGGCCCCTCTCTCAGTTTGTAAAGAAACGCTTGCGTCACCCTGTTTCTTAGCAGGAGTGAAAACGGGGAGTTTAGGAGAATGAAACTGCAATGAAGAAATACTACAGTAGCTACTGTGTCATGGGGAGTGGAATGTCCCCTTTGCAATGCTCCTGTTGAATACTCACCTGTGCTGCTTCCTTCCCCTCCCTTCCCACACAGAGAGAGTGCGCAAGGCTTGCGTGCAAGGCACAGAGCAGTAAACAGATGTTGGCGACGTCACTCGCAAGGATTTCCCTTACTCGCCTATTAGTCTCCATGGCAACTGCCAACCACAACCTGCAAACAGTTACCTAAACTCTATGATGCATGCCAGCAGAACTCCCACAGAGGGAATCCTTGTTTATATTTCTGTTGCTAGGCGATCCCGTCCGGCTGTAATCTGGATGGGTGTGTGTGTCCGTGTATGTGTTTTAAGCGCAGAAAGAGCAAAGGTATGTTCTGAATCACTTAACTGCTTTTTTTTCACTTTAAATTTGATATTGACTGAAGAAAATAATGCCCCGAACAACCTATAATTACAAAGCTAATATAAAAAAGTGGGAGGGGGGAATGCGCTGGATTCTCTTATGCCAACATTCATACAGTGATTCATTTCGATCAATGAGGAAATAGTATCTTCATACCTCTTCTCTTTGATCTGCTTCCAGATAAGGAATAAACAGATTGATGTGCATTCAAACATTTCAGCAGCTTCCCAGGGACCCGATCCAGCTGTAAGCATGGGTGCAAGTTTTCACATGTACGGACAACTAGTGGCCTCAGATGCGGCTGCTGATTCCGGTTTACTCACATCCAAAAAAGGACAGAAGTCAGTTCCGTTGAGCTTGAATTGCTGCGCAATGCAGATGAGTTGAAGGCTTCCTATATGTGTGATTGTCTTTTGCTGGATTGCAGCATGTTTCTCTCGCAGATATACTTACTGAACAAAGGGGTGACAGGATTTTTTGTATTTTGAGATATTACAATTTTTGCAACTGACCAAAGGCTGCTTTGTTTGTCGCTTAATGTAAAATATTTTGGGCTATAATTCCCATCAACCTCAGCCAGGGAATGCTGCCTTAAACATTATCCCTCTATATATGCAGTGCTTTTTTCCTGGGGGGATGCAGGGGAACGTGTACCCCTAAACATTTTGCAAATCTTTGTACTTTTGTTCATTTACCGTATTTATTTTCCCCAATTTAAACTATAAAATGGTGATTTTCTTGAGCCAAAATGAGAGTACCCCTAAACATTGTTTTTAGAAAAAAGCACTGTATATATGTGTTGCTATGCTATAAACAGTAATCATCAAACACACAAACAATAATACATCAGAGTGGAATCATTTTTAAAGTAAATCTCGTTGATCTTTACATTTTTCCTCCTCAGTTTTTTAAGTGTGTCAAAATTCATTTCTACTTCACTTGACATTCATATTTCACAGATGAAAATGGTGCATTTGCGGCTTTGGCTGAGGTGGGTTGTGGCGGTTCAACTGCAGACACTACGTTTTCCATGCAGAAGATACTTTGTTCAGTGTCCATCATCTTCGGGTAGGGCTGGGAGAAAAATCCTCTCTGAATTCCTGGAGAGCTGCTTCCAGTCCATGTGGGCAATAACAAGCTATTTCCTAGGGACAAACCCTGCTTTATTGTAAACTTTCCCTGGTAATGACTTTCGGGGATGCCTTGTTAAATTTAGCTAGTGTGACTTGCTTCCTACTGCCATCCTTTGAGGTTGAGCATATACCAGATATCTAGAAGTCCCTTGGGTGACGATAGTGGGTCATCTACATCCCTTATTCTGATTGGTGGAGCAAAGGGGACACCATCTTGAAATGGCCAGACACACTAGAGAATTTCCAACATTTCCCTGAATGTCAAATGGACTATATCTACAGACGGGCTCGCCATAAATTTGACACACACAGGGGTACAACCCAAAATTTTTGGATTGGCACCCACAACTTAGGTCACGATGACATTTTGTGGGGTAGGGTCAGTGGCAGAATAATCCATGAAAACCTCTTGGTTTTGCCATTTTCTGCACTGTTCGCTGCCATTTCCTCGGGATTTTGCTGCTTTGGTATCCTTTATTGTGCTAATCTTTTTCTGGTCTCCATAGCCATGGTAGTAGCCATTGCAGTTGAGAAGTTGTTAAGTTATTCTCAAAGCATCTAAAACTGCCAGGAACTGTGCTAAAAGTAAGCACTTTGGATCCTGCCCACAAACCCACAATCCGGAGATAAAGGCACATTAGGGAGAAAGGGGAAATGTGGTCCAGTGGAGCAAGGGTTATGACTAATGTAGCTGTGAATCATGATGGTGCCACACAAGCAATCAGGTATGCTGCAAGTTAATACATTAAGGGAAATGCCAGCCAATTCACTGTGAGGGCTTTGCATAATCTTTATGGATGTTGAGCAGAGGTACCACTTGCATAGCTGTGTGAGGAGACCAGGGCTCAGATGCACACCACATGCCTCTAGTACTCCTCTTGCTGATGCAGTTTCACTGCTCCCCCCTTGACTTCCTTGTGCTCTTGTCAGTTGCACAATGGACAGGTGTTTTTTTAAAAACCAGTTTTACATCCTTCCCAAAAATTTGCAAAAGAATGTGCTTACTGCAACAGACAGAGGTTTTTATAATATACAGTGGTACCTCGGGTTACAGACACTTCAGGTTACAGACTCCACTAACCCAGAAATAGTACCTCGGGTTAAGAACTTTGCTTCAGGATGAGAACAGAAATCGTGCTCTGGCGGCGGTGCGGCGGCAGTGGGAGGCCCCATTAGCTAAAGTGGTACCTCAGGTTAAGAACAGTTTCAGGTTAAGAACGGACCTCCAGAACGAATTAAGTTCTTAACCCAAGGTACCACTATATATAAAAACAATTTACAACATGAACACACACATGTATACTTCCAGTTCAGCCATAGTTTGTTAAGTCAGAGAAGTGCAAAACCTCACTCCGAAATATCTCTAGCTTTACTTGGTTGGGTTCCTTCAAAACCTCCACAGACATCACTTGCGAAGGGACCTTCAGAGTAATTTGAAATCTTGGGTTGCACAAGATATTCTGAGAACGAGGCATCATATCACCACCACAAGGAAGTGTTCTCCAAACTCTGTTTAAGGAATGGGGAATTTGTGGCCTTTCAGATGTTACTGGACTAAAAGACCCATTAGTTCCAACAAGCAGGCCAAGGGTCCAATGGATGATGGGAGTGGTAGTCCTAAAACATCTGGATGGCACCATTTTGGCTCCCTGTGTTCTATTTGCTTTCTCCAAAAAGTCACAAATGTTTTGCCTGAGTAGGAAACCCCCAAATTCACACAATATGCCAAGACCATAGATCAGGACACAAACCGCAGTTTGGTGTTGGTCAATATAAATACATCTGATGAGAAGCGAGGGCATGCAGATTTTTATATGGTAGCAGTGCAATTTCAGTAAAGGCCTCTGTCGAAACCAGGGTATTGGAGATTGCATATTAGTGATTTTAGCAGCTGTTGATGAAACACAAGAATAGGCTCTTTGAAGATCTATGTAGTCTTTGATGATGACTCCATAGAAATGCTTCTGAACAAGTAAAGGAAGGAACGCTGGAAGGGATCTGTGGTTTCCGTGGCATCATCAAACTGATGCCTTGTAAAGCTTCACAATGGAATGATTTCATGTCATGAAAGCCCAACCTCAGAAGACCAGCAGTAACACAGTTTAATTATGCACCTTCCATTATACACCACTGACGTGCAGTGCTTTGGGTGGGGTTTGGAATAGGTGGAAATGATGTTGTCTGGACTAGAGCTGCAGGCAACTGAATGGTTAGCCACCTGATTTGAATATTTATCTGTGCTCTGAGGCCAAATAGAATGACTAATGGACTCTAAAGGGCACAGTCATCTGATAATTTCCTCCAGAGTTAATATTTAATTTCCACTTATAAAGTTTTCACTTGAGAGCTATTTACAAGGTCCTGTTTCATTCTAGGAGCTTTTTAAAATTAATGCCATCTTAATAGAAAGGGTAAAGAACTTGTTCACTGCATTCAACCCCCCCCCATGGTGAATGTCTTTAATTCCAAAACCGCCCAAGCATTTTAAGTGTTAGTTTCTCTGCATCTAGCCCCACTCTGGACTCTGCATCCCTGGACTAGCCCTGCATCCCATTTGCAAAGGAGCTCATCAAATAGCTTCATTGGTAGAGCACAAGACTCTTTGAGATTAAGAGTCTTGAGTTTGAGTCCCACATTGGGTGAAAAATTCCTGTACTGCAGGGGGTTGGATTAGATGACCATAGGGATCTCTTCAAACTCTACAATTCTATGAGTCTGTGATTCTACTATGCCTCCATGCCTATGTGATTCTACTAGGCTCCATGGAATGAGGGTGTCTGTGCAACTGTGTTCAGCTGCTCATGTTTAGCGGTTCCTTTGCAAATGGCCACACTCGATGTGTGGACACTCAGAAGAAGAGTTTGGATTTGGTATCCCGCCTTTCACTCCCCTTCAGGAGTCTCAAAGCGGCTCACAATCTCCTTTCCCTTCCTCCCCCACAACAAACACTCTGTGAGGTGAGTGGGGCTGAGAGACTTCAAGAAGTGTGACTAGCCCAAGGTCACCCAGCAGCTGCATGTGGAGGAGCGGAGACACAAACCTGGTTCCCCAGATTACGAGACTACCGCTCTTAACCACTACAATACACTGGCTCTCAGGAGCCAGGGCAGCACTGCAACCTCACTTCCAGTTCACTTCACAAGTGTCCTGTATGTAAGAAACACCTGAAGAAGATCAGGTAAAGTCTCGTTGCATGCTGGGACGTTATTCCACACACACAGCACCCTATACCTGTATGCAGATTGCTTAGCTGATGCATGTTTGTGTGTGAATATATAGTTAAGCTTCATCAGATCTCCTTAATTCCCTGAGTATCTCACTCAAACCTCTGTTCTGACTGCAAGCTGATGTCTGTCAGAGAAATATTCATTGCATCGTGAAGTGGGACAAAATGTTTTGATTGCCTAAACCTGTTTAATGTAGTGTGGTTTTGAGGAAGTGAACCAGCCTTTTGAAGTGAGTCTTGTTTGCAGCCAGATGAGGACAATGAATGGAAAGAGCTCGCTAACCTTGTCCCTCACTGTTCCCAGATATGGAAAACGGAAAAGAGATCCCGGGTGAAAGAGCCTACAGTTTATCTTGCCCATCCCTCTTTATATCATTTTTTCAAAAGGAAATTGTACATTCACGTTGAATTGTGACTTCATTGTAATGTGACCCTGAGATCTAGTGTATCATGTACTGGAATTGCAGCAAGCTAGTACCGGCAGTGCACTTAGTTGCCAGAGAGTCTGATGAATCATACACAAAGAAAGTCATTTTAACTGTATCAGAGTTTAAAGAATTATTATTTATTTATCCCACCTTTCTGTAAGTATGCACACTCAAGAAGGCTTACAAAGGGCTCATCTACACTTCAGCTTGCCCTATAAATCATGGGTCTTGGAGGTTTTCTGCTTGCACCTTGCTTTCTAGACACAGGTCTGAGTGCTCCCCCCATTTGTACTACCATTTTTGCAAGAGAAAAAAACCCTGCTGTTTACTGATGAATTGGAACAAACGTCAATCTGCAGAAAGGCCTATCAAACTTGGTTCCGATTTAGCAGGAGCATCTCCACACCATCATTCAGCCCAGACACTGAGGTCTAGCTCCAAGAGCCCTCTGGTGGTTCCCTCACTGTGAGAAGTAAGGTTACAGGGAACCAAGCAGAGGGCTGTCAGATGTCAAAGAAACAAACAAACAAGCATGAGAGTAGAGGAAGTCCCATTGCACAACAGAAAATCCTTGTGCTGATGGGAATCGTTGCTAGTTGAATTACTTGTGCTCTCTGGTGATGCACTGATAAAATCTGGATTGTATGGATGAATAGGTTTCAGGCCTTGCCTAAAAGGCAAAAGAACCTTGAGGGTCATCCAAGCCCCAAAATTCCATGATTTTATGGTCTAAATCTTGATGTAGGAGCTATGGAATTTGACATTGAAAATGTCCCAGGCCCATGCTACTCATAAACACACAATGGACTATGTGCGGGAAGGAAGAGTTTGGAGCTTGGACATT